CTCCATACTATAGTAGATTCATTTTGTGTTATTACAAGTTTACCTCTCTGTCCCACTCCACCCCCAAACATACAAATACATTCAAATGTACTGAGGAGAAAGGATTTATTATTAGAAATTAATAGAAATAAATATTGTCAGAAATTCTTTCTCAGTACATTCATTTTAACTGTTGCATAATATTCCATGGAATGGATGTACATTATGGATGATAGAAATATAGTTTCTGTAAATAAGGTCCCATTTAAGATCATTGTACACACATTTTTGTGCACACAAAAAAGTTGGTGGGAAATTTCTTAGAAGTAGAATTGCTTAGACAAGGTATAAACATTTACAATTTTTTATAGGACTTGCAAAATTTCCCTTGGAATAAACTGTCCAATCTACACAGTCACACACACACAAAACACTTTGAAAGTACTTAGTTCCCCATGTTCTTGTCGCATGTATTAACATAATTTTTAAACTTTGAGTATCTGGTGGAAAATGATATCTCATTTGAAGATTGATTTGCATAATGGAAGGGCTTTCAAATTTATTTTCAGCCAAATATTGTCTATACAAGTTTTATCTTTAGTTCGTGTTAATGGAGACTTCTAATCTCTTTTACTGTTAGGTGTTAGTTTTGGACCAAAGCACTATTTAAGTGTGCTGATATGAGATTGCAGCCAGAGGGCAATTATTTGACCCGAAGACCAGTATTAAAAACAGAAACTGATTTATAATGATTTTTAATGGTTGAGCTTTTAAAAATATATGTGGGAACATGGTGTAGTACATGTTATATATAACAATTTCCCAGGCATTCGTTATTTTCCTCATTTCCCTCCTGATTAGGATACTTCAGGACCTATGGCAAGAAAGCAGCCTCAACTCCAGCAGGTGTGGCCACGCAGCAGGCTTTAATGCGGATCAGAAAGTCCAGTCATTATTTGGCAAGGCGTTCATCCCCTCTGAAGCTCATCTGTAAATTGAGGGTTTCCATTAAAAACAATTGCTCTGGTCCCTTGCTGTTCTTAATTCCGCCCTGCTACACGGTTGTTTAACCGCCGGGCTGGAGAAGAGGCTGCCACTGCTGACAGTGCTGTGGAAAGAGCAGAAGTTCCCCCAGCGAGAGTTCTCCCCAGTACGAACTGGAGTGGGGAGCATTTCAAAGCCTAACGGGGATGCTGCTGCAGCTCCGTGGGCCCTTCACCTAGCTGTTGAGAGCGTCCGTTTTCTCTCTCTGTTCTTAAAGACGGAATCATTTACTCGGCCGGCAAGGCAGTGACGTGGTCTAAGGCGGCTTCCAACAATCCCAGGTTACTTTGTTTCCCATTCGCCTTGAAAACAAGATAGAAGAAACGCGCCTGAGCCTCGGCAGGTGGATTTTACAGCCCTAGTCCGGGAGCTGTTGAAGCCGCGCCTTAACCCTTGGCCCGCGCCCGCCACGTGGGTACACGGTGCTGGAGCAGCTCCGGACCCGCTGTCGCGGTTCCCCGGGGGAGCGGGAGCACCGCAGAGCAGCTGCGGGGGCGGAGGCAGGGCGCTGACATCAAGCGGGGCAGGTGCTCCCTTGCCGCTTTCTCTTGAATTCAGTTCCTGCCCATCGCCTGGGAGAGGGACTTCTATGTGGTCTGTCCCCGCGCCACTTGGCAAGAACGTGTCGTGCGTTTGGAAAAGCAGAAGCAAAAAGCGGAATATGAGTGGTTGGTGACCAGCCAGGGACTGTGAGGTTCACCCTCTGAATCCGCCCGGAAGAGAAGGAGAGCGGGGCGGGGAGAGGGACCCACTAGGGGAACCCCCAGCTAGGGGTGGGGTGGGCGAAGTCTTGCCTAGGTCGCCACCGCAGCACGGGGTTCTGCGGGGCTGGGTGCGACCGCACAGGCCCGCCCGCGCCTCGCCGCCCCTGTCTAGAGTCGGGAAAAGTGACTTGTCTGTGATGCTCGGTGCCGCGCTTTACCAAAGAAAAGGGAAAGCAAAATGAAGCACAGCGGGGCCACGGGGCCAGGAGCTAGGGCTGCAGTCCGCTG